TATATTGCTAAATATCAATATGTAGATTATCTCATTCAGTCCTCTTAGCAATTTTAAGAGATTAATGTATTAGAACAAGTATACCAAAGCTTTTGAAGTTACGAAGTGTATTTACACTACTCTACAAACTACTAACTGGGAGACACCAGAATCAATTCTGGAACCCTAGCTCCATGTTCACCCACTGAACCACTGTGGCCTTGATGGGTATTACATCCCACCATTCCTTTGCATTGAGATCTCCCATCTTGTCTCTTACACATGGACAATGAAGACAGAATTTCCTTTTCTCCTCCTCAAGCTAGAAAAACAAAATCATTAAAAATTAGAGAGGGACTTTTCACCTCCAGTAGGGACTTCATACTGATAAGTCATTGTCATATAACTCTCTCTGTCAGTTCATTAACTCCTCGCAGTTCAGGAGCCCCACCCCCTACCCCGTAGCACCTCCCTAGTGTGTGAGTAAAGAGCTGAAGCTGAGTGGCTGTCTATCAGAGAGAGCACACAAGATTCTGACTTCTTTTTGGTAGCAGATGCTTAAGGGATGCATAAGATCTGTCTGAATTCTGTGATCAAGTAAAATGAACAGTCTTTCTACTTAAAACGAATCCACATCCATGATAATTGTGCAGGTATTTCCCTGTCATATTAGCAAGTTAATTGATAAAGGAGTAAGAATCTTAATAAAAATTGCTCTGTACTATTTCCTAGGTATTCAGTTTGAAAAGGAATTTGAACTTGAAATTTATATAGTTCTTCAGAAAATACTGAAATAAATGCCACAATGTAGATGGAACTTTGTAATTTTTCAAAGATGAAATTGAATGAAACCTAGAGCAGGTATTTAGTTGTTGACTCAGTTGCATAACAAGGCAAATAACTTGGATCTTTCAAATAGATAAAAGCCAAAAATTGAATTCAGAAGAAAAAAAATAGAATCACTAGGGAGAAATATTGGAAAATTATATAAAAATCATTGACTTAGAACCCTGGAGACCTAGTAAGAGTTTCAACTTGGTATGACTATGAACAAATCGGTACTTCTTTGGGCTTTGTTTTCTCCATTAGGAAAGAGATGCTCATGAAAATCCCTTCCAGCCCCATCTATGTGAGTTGTTTCTCCCAGTGGCCAGTGGTTTTGTCCAGGATTTGGGAAGATTTTTTTTCTTGAGGAAGTAGACTGTGGAGCAAGACAGCCTGTGTTCACCACTTAGAAACTGATGACTGTGGCAAATTATTGGCCTCACTGCACCTTATTTTTCTCATTCAGAGAGTGGGGATATCAATAGTATTTATTTGTTGGGTCATTGAGTGGATTAAATAAGTGAGCATGTCAAGTTTTAAAACAATGAGTAACAGATGATAAATATTAAGGAATTGCTTTTATTACTGTAATAATAACCACTGTTACTGCTCAGTGGCGTTTGAGAGAGATTGCATATTTTTAAGACTGAGAATTCTCTGATGTCATTGAGGAGTGAGGGTTAGAAAAGCATGTGCAATTGTATTAATTGTATTAATAATTCCATGAGGAGCAATCAGCCAGATTTCCTGCTGCCTACCTATATACATCACACCCACACAGACTGACTGCTCTTCCCAGAATCTTCTCCTTTTCCATTCATTACAAAGGAAGAGGTTCCTGGTAGATGGTAGGGTAAGTGGCAGGTCTCCCTCTCCCCTCACTCCACAGAGGAAGCTAGATCTGGTTCACATTATGGATTCCACAATATCTGATGATATGCACAGTGGTTACGAATGTTTGAGCCCTAGCTTTGTTAATTTCCTAGCTTTGTTTCCTTATAGCAAGTTATTTAACCATCCTGTGCCTCTGTTTCCTAACTCTACAGGGAGACTACTAATAGCTCCTACTTTATGGGGTGGCTGTGCTGTTTAAATGGGATACTATATAGGAAGTTCTAAGAAGATACCTGGCATATATGTTGAGTATATTAGAAATGTTATAATTACTGTATGATGAGTAGAGGAGGTAAAGAGAATCTTTGCTATGTGACTCTGGAAGAAATCAAGGACCACATTGTAATACATTTGAATTCTAATTATTATATAGATGGGAAAATATCCACACATTTGCTCACCAGTGTGAAACGGATGACTGATGATATTTTTAAAACTTGCCAAACAATGCATATAGAATGGAATCTCAGAGTTGGAAAGAGCTCCAATGGATGTCCAACCCAACCAACCCTCCATGCATATCTTCCCCTGAAAACCTGCCAGGTGCTCAGCTGCCCATATACTCTAACGGTAGAGAGAATTTAATTTTATTCCTGATGGTTTTTGGCATCTGTTCCATATGTGATGGTCCATTCCATACCACAGTACTTTGCGTAGTACAAGGGGGCATGTTTATTGTAGTGGTTTTCTGTTAAGAGGATATTTGTGTGGCTTGTTCGAGTAATAGTGAGCAGTCTAGTTTCTTCTGATGTTTAGTTTTTCACCTACCAGGCTGCCAGACATAGCCAATAAAATTGAATGAGATGAAAAAGATGTATTGTCTTATCTGTGTATCAGATCCTCTAATGGGAAGATCATTGAAAAACAGATTGAATATTGAGGTCTGTCAGGGAAGAACTTTGGAGTGAGATAATTTTGATGCTAGAAAAGACCTGGGAAATGATCCAGACCTTAGAAATGATCTAAAATTGAGAAAAAAGTAACAAAGAGGTTAAGAAAATCAGTCACAGCAGATAGCTGAATATGCACAGTGAGTCCTTTCTATGATCTGTCTCTTGTTCTTGAGCTCAGTGGACCCTGAAGACAGGCTATTTTAGCTCCAATCTTAGTTTTACCCTTTGTTGGTAGAGTGACCTTCAGTTATTGGTAGACTACTCCCTGCCTCAGTTTTCTTATGTGGAAAATTGATGTCATGATAGGGGTTTTGTGTGAATTAATTTTGTAAGACACAATAGATTATGGAGCACAATGTATTTATTATTATTAGTCTTCCAGAGAACCTCAGTAGTGCCAACTCTGCACCAAATGAGAGAATGATTTTGACCAAGCTGGTATTTCAGAGTACTTTTTATTCACTGAAAAATGTGGAGTTTTATTTCTTAGCTTAGGATTCAGAAGTCAACTTCAGGACCCATCTGCTAATTAATAACCATATCTTTCTCTGGAATTTCTATGTGACTCCTGTGTGGGAAGTAGACTGGTTAAAATTTGATCCTTTTTTATAGTTTCCAATTCACAGTCAACAAACACTGACAGGTTAATCTATATAATTGGTGCAGAAATGAGGCCTGCCTGTACCAGTAGGCAGTTTAATGCATGCAGGATGTAGGGACAGTCAGAAGCTAAATGTTATTCAACATTTAACAAGCATTTGTTAAGAATTTATTATGCAAGAAGCATTCTTTTACATAATGGGAAGATATCAGTTAACAAAACAGGTGATTTTTTTATTTTCATGGAAATATGCAAAATTTAGCTCCTCTTACACACGTATAAAAGTATGTGCTATGGTAAATATATTAACTTGCTTTAATAGTAACATTTTAATGTGTATATGTATTCTTTCTCTTTTTGGTTTTTTTGAGATGGTCTCCCTGTATAGTTGAGACTGACCTGGAACTCACTATGTAGTCCAGGCTGGTCTCAAACTCACAGCGATCCTCCTGCCTCAGCCTCCCAAGTGCTGGGATTACAGGCATGTGCCACCATGCCCGGCTTAATGTGTATATATATTCTATAGCATTATTTTATAAACAGCAACTATAACCAATACAATTCATTTTATAAAACAATTCAAAAAGTTTGGGTTGAGTTGCTGATTTTATAGTATAAATGAGTTAAAACACACATACAAACAATGAATTTCTTTAAAACTAGGAAGATTTGGAAAATCTTAGTGGCAAATACAAGATCACATTGAAATATATAGTGAAGGGGCCAAGGATTTAGCTCAGTGGTTCTGCTGCCTGCCTTGTAAGTTCAAGGTCCCAAGTTCAATCCCAGGTGCCAAAAAAAAAAAATAATAAATAAATAAAAAAGAAAAAAAGAAAAGAAATATATGGTGAATGTTTAATCTTAAAAAATCATGACAGGAAGGGACCCATTGCCATCAGTCTCTCTCTTGAGACTCCACCTTACTTCCAAGGCGCATATACCAGAGTTCTCAGCACTCTCTGACTCCATCCTGTTGGTCCTCTTTAGTGAGTGTTGTTGCAAGGTGTGATACACATATAGTGAACGCTGCTGTCAGGTGGTATCCAACGGAAAGGCAGGCTCCTGGAAACACGACGCTATGCCCTTGTCTGTCTTATTAGCAGGGCCTGGCATGCTGTAGCTTCTGGTTCTCTTCCAAAGGCAGAATGACCACAGGTGGTACATATTTTGAATCTACTGAGGGTACAGAGACAGCCAGAACAGTACAGCTAGGCAGGAAAGAGGACTTGCAGAACTGTTTCAGAAAGTGTCAAGACCGATGTGGTAAATGTGTTCAAAGTGAGGAGAAGGAGTATTTTGAGGTTGATTCGTGCCAGTATTTCTTTTACTATAATACATTTTTTTAATGTAAGCATTCGCTCTATTTTTCAATCATGCCACATTTCTCTCCTCCGAAGTGGGGCTTGGCTTCATGTGTTTTCATGAATGAGGTGAAATAACATTGCCCACAGAACTGCAAATAAAGAAAATATCCTTGTAAACATCCTTTTCCCAATCCCAATTCTGGAGCCTTACAGGCACCGTAACAAATCAGCAGGCTGCCTGGCTGCCCACCATGGCTGTGGTATTGACTGCGGAATTCTGTCCTAGCTGTCTGTTTCTAGTTCCCTGCATGGGATTTATTTTCTTCTTTCATCCATTTAGACTCCAACGTATGTTTCAAAAATGCCTTAACTCCTAGCTTTGCAGCTTTAACCTGCTGAACTCAGACTAAATGTCCAGGATCTTCTCTAGGTTTCCGAGGTAGTCTCTGCATTGTTGGATTGTAGAGGCCACATAGGGGACTCATGGATCTTGTTTGTTTCCAGTTAACAGCTTTGGGGATGATGAAGAACTTTCCACATCTTCTGGAGGTGATGAGGATGTGATCAAACAGTTTGAGATTTCTGTGTCTCGATCCCAGAGTTTCCGTGCTGGAGCCTCTGAAGAAGGAAAACCCACTGGATTGGAGCAGAGAGCAAAACGCAGGCGCCCACTCTCTACCCACGAGGAAGACAGCACGGAGGTGTCTGCCTGTGAAGGTATTCTTTGCGTCACATTTTTCCTTTACCTAGACCTGGGATGGTCAATAACGAGAGTGTTTTTGCGTATTTAAATGCTATATTGTACATCTAAGTCCAGAAAGGAAAAGAAAACAAAGCAAAATAAACCGGAAGGAGACTACAAGAAGAACAGTGCAGTAATTCTGAGTTCTTTCCTGAGTAAAGGTCAGGCAACTCTGACAGCTTTATGCCCAAAGCCCCTAGTAAGTATAGGCTTAAGAACAGGGAGGAGTCTGAGAGGTGTGTTTAGCAAATGCTGGGGCAGTTAGTCGTTACACATCCACTGTTGTGTCTTGGTCTCAGTGATCTTGCTTCTCCAGTCTTTTCCTCTTTTCTTTTGGGGCATGAGGTCAGTCAAACCAATGGGGAGACAATATTTATCTTCCTTATTTTCAACACTGGATAGAGAAGGTGAGCAAAGAAACTGAAAGAAGATGGAAAGAGAAGAAATTTGGATTTAATGGTGAGGAGGGAGTGGGGAAAAAAGGACAAATGGGAAAAAAAGAATTAACAAACAGAACCTTGGTTTTTGGTAGGGCAAGTTGTTTTCCATCCTTTAGTTTGACTTAATCGGCATCAACCAACCTAACACGTTTTGCTGTTATCTTCTTAGCGAAAGGTAAGCTAGTAAGTGCCGGCATGATATAAGCCAGGCACTTTCTATGACTGGGCTGGCTCCTCACTCCCTCTCTTGGTCCTTCTCTTTCTCCGGTGTTGTACAGAGCACTCCTTTCTCTTCATTGACAGGGCAAATGTTAGCTAATGAAAATTAACAGCAATGGATTCCCTGGGGATCCCATGTTTAATTCTATAGCTAATGGCCCCATTTCCCAGCAGCCCAAGGGACTGGGTTCTGATTTACATGAGTGGCCGATGCTCCCGGGACTGGGAGAACCCCCTAATCTATGTCCTTCTTGGAATTAGCAACAACTTATCTCTTGTTACAACTAGTAATTCTGAACTTTTGCCAGACAGTCATAGAAAAGATAGCATTTTCTGTACTGGAGAGAAGAAAAAATCCAATGAATAACATAAATTTTGAAAGACAACCAGCAATTTTGATAGGAATAGCTATATGCCAAATTTTAGGTCATCAAATGCCCTGGAAATTTTAATGCAATTTTTATTGTTCCATTATTTTCTGCCAGTTGTTTTTATTCATCTTAACATTTGTGGATTTATTTCAGTTACATCTCTGCATCCCAGAGAGAATTTTTTTTGGAGGGCAGGGTATATATTGAGCTATTTCATTCTACCATGAAGATCAAGTTTAATTGTAGATAGTCCTTCCATTTTAAAAATGCATTTGAAAATGTTGAATAGTGAAATTAAAGGTCCAAATCTAAGTAAAATCTGAACCACAAAGGATCTAGAGACAGGTTGTCTTATGTTTGATCTTAAGTGAAGTCGTGCTAGATTCAGTGGGGAGATTATTATCATCAGAGTCTACGGGAGTGCTTTTTTGTCCTGTGTATTTGATTTAGTGTTACTGCACACTGCTTGTCTGTGTATTTCTGATAACATCATGGCGTTTGGTGTAAGTGATCAGAATCAGAGGCTGAGTGTGAGGATTTTAGCCATGAAAAGTGGGTTGCAGAATAATGGTTCACTCCCTGGATTTTTTTCCAGTAGCTGTATTTTGCAAATTAAGAATGGTTCATTTTTAGAATGTTTCATAAAAGCTCAATTTTGTCTTCCTAGTAACATACAAAATCTTGATTATCAGAACCTGTACTCAGTTTCGTTTGGAATGATCTATCAATAATGGCTCAACTAAAAAAATAATAGAACCAGTAGAAACACATTCATATGTCTACCAACACTTGTTCAAAAGCTGTGTGTGTGTTCACCTGTACTTCAAGATATTTATTACAAAGAATTGGTTTATGGGGTTGTGGAGGCTGGCTAGGCAAGAGAAATAAGAGCTCTGAGGACATAAGACAGGCTGTCAGGAAGAGTAGGCTCAGACCCTCAAGTGTGCGCTAGCGCTGCAGTGCTTAGATGGGACTTCTTCCTCTTAAGGAAGGCTCAGTGCTCTCACAATCTTTCAAGTAACTATATAGGATGATCTCATTCCTTAAAGTCAACTGATTATGAGCTTTAATCATACTTACACAGCAGCACTTGGATTAGTGTTTGATTGAAGAGTTGGCACCGGTAGCTCAGGTAGGATGACACATGACACGTGGAATTGAGGACCTCTGATGACAAGCAGGAGTCTTTGTATATGGCTGGTGATGGGAAGAAGGCTTGGGAGTATGACAGAAAGTAACTGGATAAGGAGGTTTGCTTCCATCAAAGTGGGATATGAACTAGCTGGGTATTGTGGCACTTACCTGTAATCCTAGCACTTGGGAGGCTGAGTCAGGAGGATCGCTGAGAGTTTGAGGCCAGCCTGAACTGCACAGAGAGATGCTGTTTCAAAAAACGAAAGAACAAAACTAAAACCAAATAAAAAAAAAAACCAAGTAGGATATGAACTAATATGCTGAGGAATTTCTCTGAGCGAATAAATATCATTGATAGGACATAATTACAACCTACAATTTCTATGAAACCAGGATACACTTCTCTGAAAACAGGCACTTTTGTGTATGTTTTTAAGGTAGCATGGTCTTCTCTAATTTATAGGCACAGGAAGGCTGCTAGATGGGAATGAGGCCTTTTTCCTTTTCTACTTCCTTGCAACTGCCTTGAGCCCAGATTTGCTTTTCTAATTCATTACTTGCTTGTCTGTCATGGAAAATGGTTTGTTACATTAATGTAGTTCTGTTTTTCAGCTATGAATAACATTTCAAGGCTTAATGTAGCTGTTGAAAATTCCCTTATTATTGATCTAGGTATTATCACCATAGGAGTTAAAGTCATGAGACAATTTTATGGGAATAATTTTTTGGCAAAGTTAAGTTTTGTGCCGAAATCCTGCTGGGCAACTACATACGCTGATGGAGGACCCACTGTTTAATAGGACATTTTACTATTCCTGTATGTGAGAAATGGGTGTGCTGATTAGAGACTTACAAGAAAATTCTGCTTTATGTTGTAGGTTTTGTGTGTGGAGTTCCTCTTGTTCTGTCATTTTCTGTGGCCTTTTAAAGTGTGTTTGCCAAATAACTGAAAGCATGAATGTAAAATTTTTGTAGTGTCATAAGAAGCTTGAACTGAATTATTAAGAATAGCAAGGCAGACAGGGGACCTTTTCAGTGGCTTGCTATGGCTTTGCAAAATTCCAAATCAGCCATCTGAGTTTGTGCCCCAAGGGCCGCATCTGCCTGAAGATGTTTTGTTTGCTCCACAGAGAGATAATGATATATTTTTCAAGTTAGGATTCTTACTGTAAGTGTGTTTTATGCACGGCCTGATAAACCACTGTCACCTAAACTCCATGTTGAGGCAGAACTGGGTGCCTCAAATGTTAGTTGCCTGCCTGGGATTAGGATTAATGAGAACCTATCAGCAAATAAAGAGTGGGCATTAGATGAGTGTGTCCTGTTGCTTTTAAGGAGCTCATAAGGCTAACGGGGGAAACAACTGTGATCATACAGCGCAAAAGAGCTGTATTTATGACATCTTCTTTGCTCTCCTCTGACTCACTGGTCCCATCTGTATCTCTTAGGGTGGGGGCTACTGGAAGGAACTTCAGGCCAAGTAGAAAAGACATTTTAACTACACTTTGGGTAAAGCAGGGCGGAGGCTGTTGCTTTGTAAGACCCTGTCAGGTTTTCTTTATCACATGAGGATGGCATTGAGGGAGAGGAATGCAATAAATGGGAAGGAAGAGGTACAGAGAGAGAAAACACAACACTGGAGTCAGAGAAAAACATTGGCTCGAAAGGAGTTGCAGATGCTTCAGAAGTTGTTGGGGATTTGGATGGATAAGAAGGAAAGGACAGGAGGAGAGTTTCAGCACTGCTGTAGACAGAAAATGTAGAAGTAGCATTCTCATGAGCCAGGGAGACCAGAGGTGACATGCAGTTGGGAAAGCAGCACACGCTGGCGTTCACTAGGTTGGAGGAGGCCAGTTCAGGCCAGACAAATCAGCAAGGCTGATCTCTGGGGAAGGCCTGTAGGCTGCCACGTGGATATTATTTCCTGGCCAACAAAGACTGTCTGATGGCGTTTATCATTTTTACATTAATAAGTAAAGGTTCAGAGAGTTTAAATATTGTTGAAGGTCTTAGGTCAGAGACAGAGTTTAAACCCAGGTCATCTTACCCAACTCCAGTGTTCCTTCTATGGATCAAATAGAGACTTTTTACCTGGGAAACCTGCTGAAGCCTTTTGAGTAGAACATAATACAGTGAAGGGCGGTGAGAGAAGAGTCAGGACAACTTGTGGGCTCCACAATGGGGCTACTATTTTTGCTTTGCAGATCCATCCCTGAGGTCTGAAGCGGTTATTAGTACCAACAAAATTCTACTGTTTTTTTTTTTAATCCCTTTGACATAAGTGTCCATAATTGATACTCATCTTATTAGGAAGTATTAAATTTAGTTATAGCCCACACGAGGAGTTAATGGTGTTTTTCACTATATGGGCTGAATTCGTTCACTAAAGGGGTGGAATTATGTTTCTGCATGTGTTACTGGGGTGGGTTTTGGCCTTGAGGTCTTAGTTATTGTGATTGAAATGACTCAGTTCTTCTAGGTAAGAAGGTATAAAAAAAAACTTGAAATAGTTTGATTTTGCAAATTTAGATTTGGATGGAACCAGCCAACTGGATTATTCTGCGATTGTATCTTGCAAAGATCACCCCATCTCCACACCCTCACAGTCCTCATGTGAAAGAGGACATACCAGGTACCATCGCACCTCTCCTCAAGAGACCCATGGGGTCCAATGCCTCAGTCGTCAGTCTGCAGAGGGCAGGTTGGAGACGGAGACAACTTTTAATACTCACGGATTTGAAGATTCCTATGCCACTGACATCTCCTCCGTATGGAGTCCAGAGGTGAGTTATTCCACTTTCTGCTTTAACAGTGTGTGCTCATTGGTTTCCTCTCATCTTCCTTTTTCCTCTCTCTCCTTTCCTTTTTCTCCCCCCACCAAATTTCTTAAGAAAGGAAATATTGCCTTGAAAAATAAAGACCCAGAATTTTGTATTCAAAACAAATTTTTAGATGCCCAAAGCCCTTGTGCATATCAATAAAATAATAAACAAGTTTCTTTCAAAGTGGAAAAAATGGTAGGAAAAATGAAAGAAGAATGGTGACAAAATAGACCCTTACAGGCTTATTTTTAAACAAAGGAAGTTTTACTTCTTTGGAGAAACTGGCTTATTTCCTTCATGGTTTTATTTAAGTGGAATCTATTTTCTTTACCAAAATAGAGTGAATTATAATTGTTTGAGGTGAAAATTGAGAACTTAACTAAAATGAAGTTGTACATAATATTCGGATGAAGATTTTTTGCCTTCGTGTTATTTTGTTTTTGTGATGCTGAGAGTTGAACTCAGACTCTTGCACATGAGGCACTGTTTTAACACTAACCTACGCCCCGCCCCAGCCTATGGTGAGGATCTTGAGGCATTAGTATATTCATTAGCTTTTAATTATGGGAAGGTCTAGGAGTTGGCGTTAATCTATAACGACAATCTAACCAGTGATGTAGCATTTTGTAATGCCTCTGGTGAAAGATACTTCTTCTAAATTTCTTTGATCTGACTGCAGGGCATGATGGAAGTAGCTACCATTTAGTGGGGCACCAATTACTACACTACATGTACTATAATGAGAAATGTGTAAGCAGTTTCATCTATGGACATCTCTGGTTATTTTTTATTAGATAGATCCCTTCTGTCCTATGACGCTGGAAGGTATTACACAGTGTGTGTGTGTGTGTGTGTGTGTGTGTGTGTGTGTGTGTGTAATTTTTAATTTGAAATTAATTTTGATGAATGTACATAACTTTTGTGGAGACCGAAGAAGAGAAAGGTGAATGAATTTGATTTGTATCAATCTGAGAAAATAAACAGGATGAAACTCTTCTCGGGACCTGGATGGCCATGGGAAGGCAAAAGAAAACTAGGAATTGTATTCGCAAGACTTAGTGGTGACACAGTGGAGTGTGCAGGGAGCGTGGAAGAGGTGTGTGTGCCTTCGTCTGTGTTGGTGTTCCTGCCAAGGACCAGAAATGGTGACACGGATATGTGGTTTGTGGCTTGTTAAAAGCAGTCCTTCCTGTAGATGCATCGAAAGCCATTAACCTCGGTACTCTGTTAAAAAGAAAAAAAGAAAGAAAGAAGTCTACTTCCCCATCATTTTATTGCTAAGAGTCATATCAAATCCCACACAATAACTTTTAAAAATATACTTTTTGTTTCCTCACCCCAAAACAACACACAAAAATTTACCTACCTTTTGACATTCTCTCTCTCCCTGATAATTGTGCCATTAGGCTTGGAATCGCTGTCTCTACCTAACCTCCCATTTACCTGCCTCCCAGAGCTTTAATAGAAGACCTGTGTGGAGGGTACTAAATGTTCCCTAACTCCAAAAATACACAGACATCTCTGTGTGCTCCATTCAACCTCCTATCTATTTTGAGACAAAAACTGTAATTTGGTGCTCCTACAGCAGAGCTTTAAACCCAGCTCAGAGGCAGTTCCTGTAACTGCCTGTGATGCAGGCTTAGCTAGCCTTTTAAACATTGATTTATTTGCCTCTTAGCTGTGTTGAGAACCCTGTCTCCCCTCATGTATCTGGCACTGGAAACAAATTGTGGGTCTGTTTACTTGGGGCCACGCAAATGACATCAACACTGTCTTACTAAAACAGAAAGCCCTTTCAGTTTGACAGAAAAATCTTTAAACCTATATAGGTTTTGACAATTTGCTGCAAGTATGCCCATCTTAAAGTAAAAAGCAAGGATATTAGTGCTCAAGGAATCATTTATTTTGTCTCAGAAGGAAGCCGTCATGCGGTGGGACTACCTGCTAGGCTGATGGATTTCTGAATGCTGATCTTCAGGGCTGGCCAAGGCCATTGACTTTCTCCTGCAGGCCTGAGGCTTGGCAGGGAAAACTACGGGAGGGTGGCTGGCGATTTTGGCCATGTAGGGAGACAGGTGTCCTACTTTTCCTCTCTGCTTTTCACTGATTAATTTGTTGGCCTTGAGAATTTTAATTAAAATCTGCCAAATGGGGATAAGAATGAAGAGGTTTTTACCTAGCAGGAAGGTCAGGTGGATTAGTGGTATTAACAGTACCCACACAAGGAGCTCCTTCAGTTGCCTGGTGATAGGCAATGTGTATTGAAATAATTAATTGCTATAAAAATACCAACCTTCACAAATCTGTCTCAGATCAACCCAGCAAGGGATTTCAGAGGCCAGTTCTCACGGGTCACAGCTTGGATGGGCCCACCCCAGCCCAGCTCTTGGCTGGTACTATGTCTCCCTCGGCCTCTTTGGACAGTCACGGAAGAGCTTTCCCCATGAGTTTCCCGAACCCTGCAGTGATAAATGGATAAATTAACTTGAATATTTTCACCTTGGCACTGAAGTTGAAACTGCTAACTAATATTAAGAACCATTCTAAAAGGATGTGAAACTTCACAGTCTTTTCCAACTTCCGTCTTCCAGCTTCTTTTCTCTTTATCTCACACATGCCATAGACATGTGGATACCTATGGTGAATAGTTCTGGGGAGAAAACCGAAAACCTTAGGGTTCAATGTAAGATTTGGAACTTTGAGTATATTGTTAAGGCAGGCTGTGGACTCAAGACAGTCAGGGTATGAATCCTGGGTAACCTGGGGGTAGAGGAGAATAGGGTTAGTTATTCATCCTTTCTAAGCTTTGGTTTTCTCCTCCATGAAAATATTAAATATCCATGGAAATATTGAGATACTTACCTCATTTAACTTGATGTAAGAGTTTTAAAAAAGTAATGTCTCTTACTTGGGTTCCTAAGTATAGCAGAACCCAAGACAAAGGCTTTTGTTCCCTGCTGTGTTGGGGAATATAGTCCTAAGGAACACGAGTGAATGATGAGGCAGTGAGGCAGGAAAGAGGAAGATCTAGTGTGAGGATGTTGACCACCAGTGGGTATGAGTCATTTCTTTTCCTTGTGGGACCACTGTCCAAGAAGCTGTATACATTAAGTTCAAGATGCCTGACCAAGGGAAGGAAAGTTTATTGTGTAGGACACTAATCCAGCAGGCTCTGGAATTTACATACATGATACGAGCAGGGTTCTTTAGCTGCTGTAGCCTTGGAATCTCAGGCCGATGGTGACAGGTGAGAATCTCATTGGATAAGTAGGAAATAAGGTTTTATTAGGTTGTGCTAGGCTGAAGCTGCTCAGAGTCCACGCAGGCTAGGTCTGTAAGGGAAGATGCACCACAGGTGAGACCAACTGAAGTGTTCAAAAGCTGGCTTTTGGAGTCTAAAATGGACTTGGTATGGTACCTGGCATAAGGAATAGCTTAGCAGATGTCAGCTGTCATTACTTACGTCTAGGTGAACAATATAGAGATGCTTGATAATAGGTAAAATAAATGAGGTTTTTAAAAAAGGGACAAGGAAGTTTGAGAGAAGACTTTGACTTGATTTTGGAGTTGGCCTAACTCCTTGGAGACTGCTTCTAATATTATATATACACTAGTCAGTTATATTCAGAAGTCTCTATAGCAACCACTTTTATCATTGCAACCAAGAACCTCTGAATAGAAACACTTATATATGATGTCATACTTAGAGGGAAAAATATAAGAAGCTTCTCTTATTTTACAAGAAACCTGAATTTTCTTGGCAGATTAATTTGAATGTTAAAAGAAAAGGGCATTTGTTGGATGTCTACTCTGCATCAAATTGTTTACTTTTCACAACATCTCTAATTCAGTTGAAGAAAACAGAACATGGAAAGGATTAAATCACTTGCCAAATGGCACAGAGCTAGTAAGTGGGGAGACCTGGCCTTCCTAAAGATGTTTGAGTCCAGAGAACCATGTAATTTCCCTTGATCTCTGTGGGGAAGTTTTATCGATGAATACTCATGTCGAGGTGTTTTATTATCATTTTTAAATGAAGAGCTCTGTTAATTAGTAAAGTATGATGCCAGTTGCATAAATAAGAACTGGTTGCAATAAGAATCATTCCGAAGGTTAGTGACAGGCACAGTCATGCCTTCACAGGAAAATTAAATTATGTCAACATCATTTATAATATGTTGGTGAGTGGCTCATTATAATAAATGCAGTTCAGCTCATTTTTCCCAATGGGAGCCTCAGAGCTGAGCCACTACAATGAGTTGCTGTCCCAAGGTGATATTCCGTAAAAAGTGGCGTATTTGGAAGTAGGAATCACCAATCTGGTAGTGGGAATAGATGTGAAGTCTAGTTTGAAGCAGCTATTTTCATGCCTATCAAAATCTCACAAAAATTATCTACCAAGTAAGCATATTAATATGCAGCTTTAGCTTTAGTATACAGAGGCTGGGTTATTTAGCCGGGGGGGGGAAAGCTTGTTAGTGGTAGATTTCAGTCCAGGTATTCTCGTTTCAGATGCAGTGTTACATTTTGCTAAATAGCTGCTGGTATACTCTTCTTAACCTTGTTATTCAAAGTGATCAGGGATTCATATCTGTTTGTTTGTTTGTTTTTTGGGGGGGTACCAGGGATTGAACTCGGGCTCTTGCACTTGCAAGGCAGGCGGCGGAACCACTGAGCCAAATCCCTGGCCCAGTATCTCTTGTTAACATCTTAGAAATCTCAGGCTCCCCCCAGATCTAGAGAATCAGAATCCTTGGATGATTCTGGTCCATGCAAAGTTTAAGAAGCTAGCTCTAAACATTTATTCCTCCACACAATAAAAATATGCTATAAGATCACCTGCACAGGACCCCATTAGGATTTTTGTCTGTAGGAGGTTCTGGTTTGCAGAGAACAGGTCCAGATGAACTATTTTTCCTGGGGACTCAAAGAAAAGTCGCCTTTTGGCAATTGCACGGTTGACTTCACTTTAGATTTAATGTCTCAGTTGGTTTCAATGATAGTGGGTAATTGTGTTTTTGGAGAGCCAGCCTATATGAAAACACTTCGCAAAATATAAAAGCTTTATTTATTCATTCCAAAAACATTCATGAAGGCTTACCATATGTCAGACACTATGCCCTCCAAGAATTCACAGTTTAATGGAGAGCAATCAGTAAACAGACCTTTCTAACCACAGAAGGTCACATGCTGGCAGCCAGAAAGCGTGGGACTCAGAAGGAGCACCGAGGGCACCAACTTGCCAAAGTGCAATTAGGCATCATCATTTCCACTCCTAATCTCTTTCTCTTCCTGAAATAGGAACAGGATGGGACCAATTTGCAGGTGCCCTCCAGGCTCTTGGAGCCCATCTCAAAGTGCGGTGACTTAGATGTCACGTTTGAATATAGAGTTGCAACCCAGAAGCTCACCGTGACCATCGTGAGAGCACAGGGCCTCCCAGATAAGGATCGAAGTGGTGTCAACAACTGGCAAGTTCATGTTGTGCTGCTGCCTAGTAAGAAACAGAGGGGCAGGACCAGCATACAAAGAGGGCCCAACCCTGTCTTCAAGGAGAAAGTAACTTTTGCCAAGCTGGAGCCCAGAGATGTGGCTTCCTGTGCTGTTCGCTTTCGTCTGTATGCTGCCCTTAAGATGACTCGAGAGAGAATGATGGGAGAGAAACTCTTTCATCTTAGTCACCTGCACTCAGAAGGGGAAATGAAAGTGACTCTAGTCCTGGAGCCAAGGAACAACATAAGTGTGAGTATGTTGCACGGTTGTTAAAGAGGCGGTGTTCAAAGACTTGGGATTGTCAGTCCTTGATTTAGTGCTTTCAGCTTGTGAATTCAGAGACCGTAATTTAATTTTCCAATTGGCTCTCCTTATCCTTGCAAGCCATGATTTGTACTTCATGGTACGATGGGTCTTCCACGCCTGTCTTCCTGATAACCTGATGGTTGTATTTCCTGTCCATTTTAGAAAATTACAGCAGTAAAGGGCATGGAACAGCCTAGAGAAGCAGATGGCTTTCTCACTGGTGGATTAGTGATCTACCCCTCCCACTTTCAGGATGCATTATGGTGAATCTCAGAGATAGGACCCTAGAGGGAAGATTCTTAACGAGCATAAGGAAGCAGTTTACAACAGCAGCCCTGGACTCCAGCTACTCTGAGGCCTCCGTCTATAGGAATGGGCTTCTTCAGTACGTCATATTCTCTACCTGCTACAAAGTTTCAAGTAAAGACACGATAGCCTGTAAATATCAAAGAGAGTCAGCTCTCTAATATTACGGGTTATATGGCAGCTTGTGTGAAGCTCCCCTTTTTAGTGCCCTGGAAATATATCAGGAGAACTATGGGCTATTGGAACCAGCCGGTCATTCATTCAAAGGTCTTTGCCGTCAGATACTGGTGAGGCAAAGCCCCATGAAGAAATAAACTAAACAAGTGATGTCTCTGCCCTTGGGCTGCTTGCGGTGTAGTCAGTAAGCGAGCCAAGGGTGTCAATGAGTGACCCAAGGCAGGCGAGGAGAGAGAGAACGACAGAGGCTGCTGTTTGTTTAGAGGGGTAGGGGAAGTTCCTTAGAGGTGCTCCTATAACAGAGCTCAAGCAACTGAGGGGAAAAGAAGCATGGTACATGGAGCCAAGGACTTCAGAAAGAGAGGACAGTGCATGAAGCCTGGGAGGATGGAAGGGCCCTGCCATCTTTGAGGAAAAACAGAGAGAGGCTGGAGAGCAGTGGTGAGAAATCTGTCCCTTCGATTTCGAACAGGGCCTGTGCAGCATCAGACTTGAAATTCTGAGTTTCGCCTCCCTAAGTCTGTTCTACCTACTGTCTTCCCTAGAAGCAGCATCATCCTTCTGGTTGCTAGGGCCAAAGTCTCAGAGGTCATCTCTGACTTCTCTCTCTTCCACCTGAAACCTTCCTTCCCCCAGTTTTTATTTTTACAGCACTGGGAGATGAACCTAGGGCCTTCACACTGAGCCGCAACCCTAGCTTGCTCATATCTTTTAGTTTGAGACAGCATCTTGCCAATTTGCTAAATGGCCCATTCTGGACTCAGACTTGTGATCCTCCTGGCCCAGCCTCCCAGAATGCTAGAACTGTAGGCATTTACCAACACACACAGCTTCCACCTGAATTCTTCCAAATGTTCTCTTCGAGTCCAACCAGAACCTGGCTCCCTGCTGGGTTGCTGAACGAGGCTCCTGGTAGCTTCTTTGCTTCTCCCTCTGTTCCCTTCATACCATCCTTGATATGGGAGCTGGAATGAGCCTGTCAGAGCATAACCCAGATTAATCTCACCTCTACTCACAGCCTTGCTTTTTGCAAACTCTGAGTAAAGTATATCTGAAAACATGGAAATCAAAAGCCACAGGAGATGAGAGAAGATTTTGTATTGTACATCAGGGATGATCATGTTTATATATATTTTGGTAGCAGGCTCTGTGCTTGGTGTTAGGGGCACATATCGAATGAGCACATTAACTTAATATGGGGTCAATTTTAAGGTACAAATTCTTTCACTGTAGACTGAGGGATTTATGAGTCATGGCACCTATGCAATGGGCATGAACAATGGATACGGATGCAGAATTTGATGGGAGAGGCAAGTGCTGAACTTACAAGCATCACAATGGGACCTTGTTTAGAAGTACAGAGATGACCCTCACCCAAAAGGAAGCAAGTAATTGGTGGATTTTTATCTTCCACATAACAGAATCTATAGGGCACCTATCAAAACCACCCAGGCCTGCTTTTTTACAAACTGTGTTCCATAAAAGCCTGGGGCTCTTACAGAGATGCGTATGATTTGGTTAAATGGATGCTTCCCCATAGATGTGCAGAATATTTGGTTCCTTTTATTGGTTTTACTTATTGGGTTAGCAATAAGAAGTTTTAGTAAATGATTTAAGATATTGAGAAGAAAAGTTTAAGCAAAGTCAAATGTTCTTATTTCTGGGGGAGGAGACAATGTGTCTGGTAGACTGGCTCGTCTGCCTCCCAGCTAGGGTGATACCTATTCCTGCCCCTTGGTGACAGTCATATACCCTACTCTATCTTGTTCGTCTCCTCCTGATGTACCTGGTAGAGAAAGGTGGTGCCAAGGAACAGCACGCTTATGAATACACACAACCCAAAGCCTAAGCTCTTTCTCAGGCTTATCCAGGGCCCGTTGGGTTGCTGAGATCCACAGTCCATGCATTTTCTCACCAAACAGGGGAAAGGTGCTCATTTTCAATGTAATTCGTTTCTTTAGGAGGCCAAATTTAGAATTTGGTTTATACTGAACCTAATAATCTTGAGAAGCACAACTCAAAGCCAAATGCTTTATGTGCTAGTCAATATCTAGTGGCCATTTCTTTTATATTTGAGACAGAATGCCTCCTCAATGGCCACATTCATCAAGAGGGTGCAGAGAACAGAAACAAAACTCAAGCTTGGAGTGGAGGAGTACCATAGAAACGCTCAGGCACAAATTATACAGCAGAGAAGTTTGGTCTATATTGAATATATTATTAGCTCTCCATGTACCTTGGGAGGCTTGATTTACACTAGTAATAACATCTTTATTTTGTCTATAGAAAGGAAACTCTGATGGAGACAGCTCTTGGAACAAATGTGCCGGCTAATAATGCAGGAGGTCTTATCTGTGGCTGAACTTCCCAAGCACATTGTAATTCACACTGAGTGCACTGTTAGTAATCTTTGGCAGTCATTGAGATTGGGTCACAGTTTCACCAAACATAGTATTGGCTTTCTCTGAGGGAGGAGTGCGGCGCAAGCCAATGGATTCTTTGTTGCTCTTCTCCTCCAGAGTGGAGAGTCTCCGCTCAGCCCATCTGCGGTTTCTCACAGTGACAGTGCCTCATCCACTCAGTCGTTGTCACATGGAGGGGCGCCAGAGCTGTTGGTGGGGCTGTCCTACAATGCCACAACAGGCCGATTATCCGTGGAAATGATCAAAGGCAGCCATTTCCGAAACCTTGCTGTTAACCGAGCGCCTGGTAAGTGTGTCCGTTCCCCCAGCTCTGGTCCTTCCAGAGGCAAGTAGAAAGTTGTGTCTGCTTTCATCTTAATTTGTTTAATTCTTATAGTAAAAATGATCTTGGTAAGGCTTAGGCAAATTTTCACAAAAGCAATACCTCTGGAGTTCTAAATGGCTATTTTATTTTATTTATTTTTTTATGAAGTTTTATTGGTACTTTTTAGGTATACAGTAAAGTTACATTCATCAATGGGATCTTGTACCTTTACATGTTGTATCTTGGTTCTTGTTTTTTCCCCCTTCCCCTGCCCTCCCTTCACCTCCTCTACCCTTCCAAGACTTTGTTTCCATTTTTCCTTTTCTCATATTTATTCTTTTCCCTTCTTTCCCTTCCCCTACCCTTCCCATTTCGCCTACTCCTTTAGCCCTTTCCTTCCCATTTCACATTATCAATTATACAATTTGAACCTTATTTACACTTTTAGTTTTTCACATCAGAGAAACTATTTGGTATTTACATATGTGTGTCCTATTTTCAATGGCCATTTTGTTAGACTGAAGGCTTCTACAATATCTAGATGCACCTTGACATGAAATAAACTGGTCTCTGTGTCTGTACTGTTTAAAGGAAAATAATGATGTCTTTTCAGCAACATGACATGGATGAACAATTAAAACTTCCAGCATGTCACAGGCCCACAACTTTAAAGAGGCAGAGATCTGACTTTGGAGGGAAGCAAATCTGGGATGGAATTCCAGCTCTACCTCTGCTACCTATCTGCTATTTCTACCCTGATCTTGTGCAATTTATATCTTCTCTAAAACCCAGTTAGTTTATCTGGGGAAAAAAGAGAAGAGGTCTTAACCTTCCTTGTAGGATTATTTTGATATTTAAATCAAACGATTTATTTAAAAGGTTTAGCATGGTGCCTACTTTCTAGGCCCTCACACATAGCGAACATACAAAAAATGGTAATGGTTATGGCAGTGATGGAGAAGGAGGTGGGGGAGGCAGATCTGGGGAGATGCAGGACCATCTCAACAGGAGAAATTACCACTTCTTGGGTATGCACTATAGAGAAGGGCTTAAGAGCTACTCCCAGTTTATAATCCAGGCTTTAGCAAACCAGACTCAGCTACTATTGCTAATTGCCCCAGTAGCCTTTCAACTTGGGCAATTAGGTACTGAAAATTGGAATTTGATATTAAAAATGAATTCACTCTATAATGATCTTACCTGTCATCAAAGAAAACTTTAATAGGCCAGGGAAACAGCTTTTGTCTCATATCTGCCTCTGCACATTATGCAAATACAGTGGTACCTCAGTTCATGAATTTAATTTGTTCAACAGTTATGGAAAAGATGGCCATGTTCACGTTCGCATGGGAAAAAATAGCTGCTGTCTTGACTGATGCAGAGTTTGCAAACAAAAACAAAATTTTGAAGATACTTCTGTTCGTGAACCAAATTGTTCATAAACACTTTTGTTGTGGTACCGCTGTACTTTTAACTACAGAAACCCAATTTTTGTGTAGAATGCTAGCTGCAAGAGAGTCTGGAAAATATTGTTGACTCTCTGTCCTTTCATGTATACGAAAAGTAAATTAGAAGTGGGTACAGTGGAGGATGAAGAGCTTGCTGGCCACAGGCACTAAGTCTTAATGAAAGGAGGATGAAATCAACCCATATGTGGTAGGTGGAAAGAGTCAATGGGCTCTATCGTCATATGGCAACAGTCAGGGAAGAGCCAGGTGAGCAAGTAGAAAAAGGGTCAATTCCTGCTATTGAATCTGAGCTCTCATTCTTTTTTGCCCTTCTCTGTGCTTCAGACCACAGAGCACAAAGCATCTCTTGTAAGTGGTTATCTTGTTAGTTGAGCAATATTACAGCCATTACAGCAAGTTAGTAAGGAAAGCCTTTAGGTGGCAGAAGTGACCAGATGCATGGCCCACATTTTGTGTCAACACTCAGAGTCAGGTGAGAGCTACTTACAATTTATAATAGATGCTGATTATTAATTGCTCAGCTAGACTCTCTTACCTAGATACAGCTTTGTTTTCCACAATAGCTCTAAAATTACTAAACAGCAGGATTTATTATTCTTTGTGAGCTTTTTCCAATCTATTTTCCTGTCCTTCAGAGATGTGGTAAGCTCTGAACAACTGTTTTAAAAGCATGGTGGAGATACAAAGCCTAATGGAGCTGGGTACACACAGATGTGACCTCTTCGGTCCAAGGTGCAAAGCTGTGCTTTGTGCTCTGGGTGGTAGCAGTCAATACAGAGCACTGAGTCAAGCAGAAGGTGATAAAGCAGAATGTGCACTTAGGCTATTTTTCTTTCTAAGCTGTGAGTAACTAAACTGTTCTGCATCTCAGTTGCCTCATCTGTAAACTGGGGAGTCATTACAATATATGCTTTATAGGAAGGAATATCAGTTAAAACTGTTGTTGAGGGCAGTGTTATTATACCTTCGTAAATTTCTACATGAAAGAAAATTCTTGTAACAAATATTTAAAATGGTGCAATAGAAAAAGACAAGGCATAATTTAGAAGTGGATCTGATTCCAGAAGTTTAAGCCAGTATGGCATTTAGTGCATAATTTGTCATACACAGAGTGTTGCAGTTTAATCTACAGTACAATCTACATACTGTATCTTTGCAACCAAAGTATTAGAAAACAGTACTGTTGTAAAGATATTAATTAAAACAGAAATCCAGTACTGAAGACAAAAGTTTTTTGTGTGTTCAAAACACTGGTACTTGAGGAAAAGCCAGTTTAATTAGGATGGGATGGAAAAGTAGAAAGTTTCTTTGTGGCGCTTCTGAAAGGGACCTCTTGGTACTTTCAAGAGCTGTAGTTGTTGGTGGCTTCGGTTCTTCATTATGTCCCGCTTCATTATCGCACTAACACTGCTTCAACAATTATCAGGCAAGCTTAGGAAACATTTTTCGTTCCCATGTGGAAGAGAATAAGAATTTTATGAGGTAACTGAGCAGATTTGAAAGAAAGGGGAAGAGAGAAAGAGGAGGAGAGCCAGGAGGTGAACGGATCCGTGGTGGGGGATTGTGGTGGAAGCAATGCCAAGTGAGCTGTTCCCCGGGGAGGTGGCGGGAGCACGGCCAGAGCTCTGTGTCAGAGCCCGGCCGGGGGCTCCTTGTGAGGGACAGGCATCCTAGGAAGCCGATGTGAGCAAGGGCCACGACGTCCTGTGTTCAGGCTTTTGGCTCAGGAATAGAGCCATGGGTTTTGAGCATGAAAAGAATGATGCTTAGGAAGGAAATGTGCAAAATATGTTGAAGCTGACCATTGGGAACTTCTGTTTTGTATTGTTAAGGTTTTGCATCTTGCCAGAAAGAGAAAAAGGCTGAGATTTAGAGGTAACAGCCTTTTGCCTAAGAATATTTTGTGAAACAAAGATAACTTTGAGCTTGCCAACTTGACTCAGTCAGATGATTGTTTTGATATGTTAAGCTTTTCTTCATAAGCATGATATGTGTATTAGACAATACTAGATGAAGTTCTTACCCTCTTAGGGTTTTAGAAGAAATAAACCACCAAGGTAGCTCCCAACCCCCACTAGCTTCTGAGGTAAAATTCTCAGGGGAAACAGCTAGATGGGGTAGGTTTTACTCCAATAGGAGCTCATGAAGCCATGATGAAGGTATGTATTTCCACCAGCAACAGTCAGCATCTCCATTACACCCTCCATCCCCACTGAATGGCTAAAATTAAAAACGCTATTGAGGATATGGAGAATACATTCATGGTACAAGTGAAAAATGGAACAACCACTTTTTTATACAATAAAACACACACTGAGAATCCAGAAGTTCCATTCTTAGGTATTGACCCATAAGTCAAAAACATTTTTTTGTATAAGAATGTTTATGGCATCTTTATTTATAATGGCAAAAACAAAAGGGAGTCCACTGGAAAATGAATAAACAAATTACAGTGTATTTATATAAAGGAATACTATGCAGTAATAAAAACAAAATTAATTTAGGCATTCAACAACACGGAGGAATCTCAAAAACTGACTGACTACCTACTGCATGATTCCTTTGATAAAGAATTTTACAACAGGCAGAGCTCGTCTATAGTGGAAAAGCAGAGGAGTAGTTGCCTCCAAGAAGGTATCAGTGCCAGGACATACTGAGCAGGGATGTGAGGGAATGTTCTGGGGTGATGGAAACGTTCCATATCTTGGCAGCACTGTGGGCAGTGAGGTGTGTGTGTCACTACTCACTGAGTCATACCAAGCTGTTTGTGTTTATAAATTTCACCCTAAGGAAGAATCACAATGCACTGAATTCTAGTTAACAAAAGGCATGCTCAAGTGTTTAGAGGTGAAGAGCAGTGATGGCTACTGCAGAAATGGGCTGATGGATGGATAGATACATAGACACGTGAGAAAGCAAAGGGAGCACAAATAAAAATCAAACACTCAAAGTGGTGGGTATATGTGTCTGCACTGTTCAATTATTTCAAGAAGTTTTCGGATATGAAATTTTTTCCCATTGAGTTTAGTGGTACATTTTAGGTATACAGTACAGTTACATTCATCACTGGGGTCTTGTGCCTTTACATGACGGCTCTTGATTCTTATTTCCCCCCATTCTCCAGGCCTCCCTTCACGCGCTCCAGCCATCTCTGTTTACAAACATTTTGTTTCCATTTTTTTCCTTTTCTCATATTTTCCCTTCTTTCCTTTATATATGAAATTTTTATAAAAGATCGGGGAAGCAATCTGGTCTGTTCTGAAATAGACAAGCTGGGTCAAGTGGGTCAACCAAACAAAACACAAATCTCAGCTATAAAAGGGCTTTTGTGGCTGGCAGGACATTTTCTTTTTACATAGGGGTGACATTTCACGATCTATCTAATCCTGTTTCTCTGGCTTTGCCTTGGATAGGATAAAAAGGCAGCCAGCAGCTGAAACTGAGGGCATCTTCCGTGATGTCCTCTATAAACCACATCTGTCCCAAGGGAGAGTATGTGGCCAGATATGTCTT